ACTCAACAAATGTGTACTGACTAGCCATTCTGGGTCAGGCACTGTGTTTGGTGCCTGGCCAGAGCTGCAAGCAGGCATTCACAATGACGGGAGGTAAAATCCACAACAGGGGCCGGCATGAGAGAACAGCTCACCAGTCCTGGTGGGGGCCACACACATCCCCTGAGAAGCCATCCAAACTCAGAGCTGAGGGATCCGTAGGACGTAGCAGCCATTGAATGTGAGCTTGGAGAGAAGGGCCCGGCAGGGCGACGGCACCGGGTGGTCTCGATGTCAGTGTGAGGAGCGCCTGTGGAAAGCTGTAAAGCACAAGAGATTAGCACAGAAAGTAAACAGGGACCTGATGAAACAGGGTCCTTGGGACAGGTTGAGAATTGGGGACTTATGTTAAATCTGGAAGGCTTTTAAACCTGAGAGTGTCTTAACCACCTTTAACCTTTTAAAAAGATCCATTTGAAGGGGGTAATTAAAAAACACCTGGAGGCAAATATTGAACTTGGTTAATAAGGATACACAGATTACTTAAGAGGAAGCATACTGAGATCTGTGATTTACTTGGAAGTGCATGATGGAAAAGCAGCCAGGTGGGTAACTAGAAGGCTGGAAGGCTGGCTGGATGTGGGACAATGAAAATACAATACAATGGTAATGGTAAAATCAAAGTGGTGGGGATACAGATGTTCGTTGTAAAATTCTCTCAACTTTCCTTATGTTTGAAAATGTTGATAATATGGGGAAATTTAGATCATTCTGGCTGATTGTAGAACATTCTAGAAAGGGGAATAGGAGCCAGTGAGGAGGTGGTTGCAGTAACTGAAGCAAGAAGTAGTCATGGCCCCGGAAACTGGGGAGAGACAGGGAGAGAAGAATTCTAATTCAAGAGCTATTTCAGAAGTTACGTCAACGACTTGGTGATGGACTGACTGTGGCAGGAAGGCAGGTTAGGGATAAACAACAAACCAGGCCACAAACCAGTTAAGAGTTGAGCAAGGATGGCCAATTGATTTTGGGGTGAAAAGGAGGACTCCTAACACCCATGAAGAACTGAGTCACCAGTGTCCCCTTCAACTGGCCTCTGACCTCGGGTCCCCGCCAGGATATTCCTGACACGAATCCTTTGCCTTCTTAGTCTGCTCTGGAACTCGTGGGGGAACTCAGTGGGCCACAGCACCTCATGAGCAAGGGGGAGAGTCAGGGGGGAGAGTCTGAGAGTGGCTACTTCCCTGCTGGGGCTGGGCTGCTCCTACCCACCTTCCCCTCCCCTCAGCCCTCTCCCAGCGCTGCTGTAGCTCTGCTCGCTGTAGTTCAAGTGTTCTGTTTTCTCAGAAGGAAAGTGTCTGGGGTCAGCAGCTTCAAATGGCTTCTTCAACCACAGCCAGCTTTAATTTATCAGCTTTCAGTTACAAAACAGATTTCTTGAGAAGACTCAATCACAATAAAGCAAAAATGGGTTTTCCTCCAGGCCTGCAAACTGCCTCTTTGCTAGAGCAGCTGTTGGCCTGATGGTTCTGGGAGAGGAAATCTCTCCCACCTCCCCCCAACCCTCCCACTCCCCCTACCGCCCCAAGCCCAGCACCTGTGAGGAGTGTAATTTCAGCTCATTTCCTACCAGCCTTGTCCTAGAGACTGTTAGCAAGCCCCTCCCTCTTCTTCCCTCCATGTGAGGGACAGTTATCAGAGGACCTGTTTTCCATTCCCATGATTACTTCTGGGCTTCATTGCTGGATTCTTGTCGCTGTCGTGCCCACAGCCTTGGGAGGTTTAGGAGCTTTGTGTTTGTGAGGACTTGAACAGGGCAGGCCTGCCTGCTCTTCCTGCCCCTGGGGATGCCCTTGGAGAAAGACCCATGCCACAGAAATGCAGTGACTGTTTGGTATCAGACCCTAAAAGCGGGGACTCCTCTAACTCTTACTTAAGGACATGGGAGGCTGGGGGCACCTGGGTAGCTCAGTCAGTAAAGCGTCTGCCTTGGGCTCAGGTCAGGATCTTAGAGTCCTGGGATCGAGTTCTGCGTGGGGCTCCTAACTCAGAGGGGAGCCTACTTCTCTCTCTGCCCCCTCCTCCCACTCATTCTCTCAATCTCTCTTTCTCTCAAATAAATCTTTAAAAAAAAAAAAAAAGGACATGGGAGGCTGGGCCAGTGATCATCACCACTCCCAAATAAAGCTAGACACATGCCTCCCGAAACACCACCTGATTCTGGCATTTGACCTTCCGAACAACAGACCTCCCTGGAGACCCGGACAAGCATCTACCCCTCAGTCTTGAAGGGAACCCACTCAGCTGGTCCTTGTGCATCAGATATGAAGCTCTGCCCCTGCCCCCACCTGAGCCTCGGGCTCCCCCCAGTTAAATCGGGGAGGGCGTTCAGGCTCGGGGTTGTTTCTAGGGGTGAGTCAGACCACGTGGCGAAGGCGCCAGCCCAGTGTCTGAGTCATTCGTGGCGCTCAGCACATGGCTGAGAACTCCATTTTCCGCAGTGATGACCGACTCGCGTCTCCACATCAGCCTCATAGCTGAGCAAGCCAGGGTGGTCTCTGTGTGCTTCAAGTATAAAAGTGCTCTTATTGTTTTAGTTTCCTGGCTATCATACCACTTCAGTCACTTGGGCTGCTTGTCCCTTGGAGAGGGGACTTGTTTTAGGAAACGGGCAAGCAGAGGGGCTCCTTTTCCAGCGTTCCCATCACCTTTGGGCCTCTCCCAAGAGTCCTGTTCGAGTCTGCCAGCCGCTCTTGGTTGAGGACTTTCTTGTGAACACGTCCACTGCCGAGGGCGCTGCAGAATACTTTACGGGTCAGGGGTCTCCGCATGCTCAGGGAGGTTGTTCAGTGGGCTTGCGGTGGGGGGGGGCTTTCTTGGTTTTGTTGGATTGGGCTTTGGTCACACATTGAAAATCTTGGGTCTCCAAGGCCCTGTTTTATTTCTGGGTCACAGCGTCTGTTCCCCAGCAGGAACCCTGGCGCCTGCGAGCTGACGGAGGTCGCTCACTGTCACTCAAGCCACCGGGTGGTGCATCCCAGGTGTCTGAGCCCACAAAGGGCCAGGTGGGAGCTGCAGGAAGATGGGGGGCAGAAGGCAGGGACCCAGAGACAAAGGCTTCCCAGGATAAAGGAAAAGAATTAAAGCCAAAAGACTTACTCTGTGCCAGGCACAACGCCAAGTCCTTTCTGTGAATTTTCTCCTTCATTTCTTTCCCCCAGCCACCCCTGTTACGAAACAGCTCTTTATACAGACAGGCAAACTTAGAGAGTTGGCCACGTTCTCCAGGTCGTCCGGCTGGCCAGGAGCAGAGCCAAAAGCAGAAGTCAGTAGCTGACCAGAGCCCAGGAGCCTCCCTACTACGGGGTCTCTGCTCTTCTGAGAAAGTGAAAGCCTCGAGCTCCAAGCTCCGTGAGATGGATGCCATTTAAGGGACGCCACCTGGAGCTCTGAGTCCGCACCTGGGCTGTGTGGAGGGGGCCATAAATGGGCAAGATGGCAGCCTCCCATCTCTGGAAGCAGGAGGAAGCGGCTCCCACTTTGAAAGTAAGTATGCAGAAAGCGCTAGAAGGGGCAGCATCTTTCCTCTGTTCCCCTGTTAAACCAGCTTCTTTAAAGATACTGGATGGTCACAGCTGTGCCTGACACTGGAGTGGGGGCAGTGGCAGATTCGGGCGTGGATGGGGCGCCTGGGGTCTCCATCCCCAGCCTCCGGGCTACTAGAAACTCAGGTGAGGCCAGGGGTTTTCAGTTTCACTGTGATGGGCCACAGGGGCCTTCCTGCAAGCGCCGGGGAACTGTGGGAGCCAAGGGATCCCTGGATGGGTGAAGGCACTGGGCGCTTGACACAGGGTGCTCTTCTGCCTTTCTTTTTTCAGTCTCCTGTTCTCCTCCCTCGCCTTACTACCCAGATCAGAGCTGGAAACACAGTGCTCAGCAAACCCCAAGGGGAAAGCCAGCCTCCTTGCTCCTGTGCTGAGGAGCGGGCTTTGGATGTGCAAGACAAGCACAGCTGAGTGGGCACGCTCCTGCTGGGCTTTTCTCCCCACCCCACCCCCCTCCCACCTCCAAAGTTCCTGCTCAGGAGGATGGGAGTTGGGTTGGGGCCAGTGGAAGCAGAACCACCACTCCCGGGGGAGAGGGGTGGGTGGGGTAGGGGGGTGAAAGGGAGGACTCCATTGGAGGGAATGGGTGGGGACCAGCCGCTTGGGGAGGGGGGCCCAGCAGGGATGCCTCAGGGAGGCTGCAGGCAGGGCTGGCCATCGATGGCGTAAGCACTGCACCTGGCCCTGCACCTGGCCCACCACCTGGTTCCACTACGCCCTCTGCATCCTGCAGAATCTGGTTACTGAGCATTTGCTCATCCGGGAACAAAGCTCTGAATTCCCAGCCCCTATGTCTTGGCAGGGGGCTGGGGGGTGGGGGGGGAGAGGTCTGCCTCCAATGGGGAGGGGCCAGGAAAACTTCCCAGGCTGGAGCCATTCCACACTGACCCTCCCTCACCTTAGGGCTGGGCTCTTCCTGGGAGTCCCTTTAGGTGTCCGTACATCGCTGGGAGTGGGTGTCAGAACGCTAAAGCATGTCCTACCCCACCCCTGACGTTTTTGGGTTTTTTTTTAACTTAAAAAAATTTTTTTTTTAACTTAAAAAAATTTTTTTTTTAAGACTCTTCATTTACTTGACAGACAGAGATCACAAGTAGGCAGAGAGGCAGGCAGAGAGAGAGAGGAAGGGAAGCAGGCTCCCTGCTGAGCAGAGAGCCCGATGCAGGGCTCGATCCCAGAACCCCGGGATCATGACCTGAGCCGAAGGCAGAGGTCTTAACCCACTGAGCCACCCAGGCGCCCCCGCCCTGACATTTTCTTGATGCCACTTCTGATAGAGGTCCTCAGAGCAGCCAGAGGGCCATGGTCACTTGAGAGAGCCCTGACACCCAACCTCACTCCCTGGGCTAGTGGAGGGCATGGAGTGCCTGTCCGGTCTCTCACCCAAGCAGGTGTGGCTCCTGTCTGCCGTCGGCCATGGATCTGTGGTGGCTGCTCCTGTTAGGGCTGTGGACAGCCGCGCCACCCACCTGGGCTGGGGACGGGCTGCTCAATGTCTGCATGAACACCAAATACCACAAGCAAGAGCCTGGCCCAGAAGACCAGCTCTACGAAGAGGTACAGAGGCCAGATGTTGCCTGGGGGTGGGAGGGGGGCTGCTTTGGCAGCTCAGGGAAGGGACATAAATGCCACGATGGTTTCTGAACCACCACCAACCCTAACTCATGTGGTTCCTTATGCTGGTATTGGGGCCCGAGCCACTGGAGGGACACTATGGCCTTTTGAGATAGTAACTGTTGAGTGCTTCAAAGTTCCCGTCTCTGAGCTTCTGGGCCACTTGGGGAACAGGGGCAGGTGGTGATCCAGGAGGCTCAGCACTGGTTCGGCATAAATGCAAACCAGGTCCTCCTCCTCTAGCCTTCCTACCAATAGGACTCTGGAGACCCCTCCCCAAGCCCAAAGGCAATTGATAGGGGAAGGGCGGAGTTGTGCAACGGGCCTTTCCCTGGGAGCTCTTCTCAGGGCTCCACATCCCCCTGGGGTTCGTGGGGCTCCTCAGCGGCCCCTCAGGAGGTGACACCCTGCAAGTCCAGTCTCTAGAGGACTGCAGCAGCCTGCAGCACGGAGATCAGCGTGCAGGGGCACCCTTTGGCTGGGGATTTCCGCTTTTCTTCGGTATGGGTGCTGCCGACTTGAAGCCATCCCCTTTGCCCAGGTCCTCCTCCTCCTCCCATGTCTTACCAAGCCCCATGCCTTTTCCTTCTTCCTCGGCCTTCAGTGCAGCCCCTGGCGAGGCAATGCGTGCTGCAGGGCAGGCACCAGCCTGGACGCCCACCTGGACCTGCCCTTGCTCTCCAACTTCAGCTTGCACCACTGTGGGGTGATGCTGCCAGGCTGCGAGAAGCACTTCCTCCAGGCCGTCTGCTTCTACCAGTGCTCCCCAAACCTGGGGCCTTGGATCCAGAAGGTCAGGAGGCTGGGCAGGGGGCAGGCGGGAGGCAGGTCCACGCAGTGTGCTCTTACTGAGGACCTGAGCCCCGCACCGCTAGCGGAGCGGGCCGTGCTGTCCCCCTACAGACAGCACAGTCAGAGGCCGGGTTGGGACAAAAGCTGGAGAGGCAGCTTCCTCAGGCCCTGGAGAGCAGCGTATTGGGGAAGAGATGAGAGCTGTAGGAGGAGGGCCCCTCTGAGTCCCATTCTGCCAGATGGATGAAACTCTGTAGCCAGGGCGGAACAATGGAGCCTCCAAGACTCCTTGTTCTGGGTAAAGCCCTGCTTATAGACTCCATAGGAAAATCTGTTCCGAGGGTACCCGACACAAGTACCCTCGAGGCTACCGATCATCTCCAAGCGATTGCTACTAGCATTCTTGTCATCTGCCATGCCTGTATCCAGCTGGACTCGGGCGGGCCAGGCGAGCGAATTCTGGAGGTGCCCCTGTGCTGGGAGGACTGTGAGCAGTGGTGGGAAGACTGCCGCACGTCTTACACTTGCAAAGCTGACTGGCGCAGCTGGGACTGGAGTGGGGGTAAGTGTCGCTGGCTCAGCAGGGCCCCCGCCTGGGGGCAAGCGCAAGCCCTCTCTGCTCCCCAAGGGTGAAGGATGGGGAGGGATGGGTAGGGGAGGGGGAGCTAAGGATGTGCCTCCATCCCTCCACAGGCAAGAACCTGTGCCCGGCACAAGCCTTCTGCCACCCTTTCCCCCATTACTTCCCCACCCCGGTTGACCTGTGTGAGAAGATTTGGAGTCACTCCTTCAAGGCGAGCCCTGAGCACCGGAACAGCGGGCTGTGCCTACAGAAGTGGTTTGAGCCTGCTCAGGGCAACCCCAATGTGGCCGTGGCCCGCCTCTTCGCCAGCACGGCCCTGTCCCGGGACCGCCCCTGCATGCTCCTGGCCTTCTCTCTGCTCCTGGCGTTCCTGTCCTCAGAGCCCCTTCTTCTCCCACCCACATTCCTCCTTTCTTGGGTCCTTCCCTTAAATAGAGCAGCATAGGCTGGGGGCCGGAGACACTGAGGCTTCAGAAGCGGGTGCCCAAGCACTGAACATTCAGTTCTAGCCGCCCCCACCCCCCACCATCCCACTCTGCTCTGTTCTGTCTTCCTCTGCCTGGAAAGCAGCAGAGGCCGGGAGCGCCCACGTGACCTTCTCCCTTCGCCTTTATGGGGCTTCTGCGACTCCGATGTGGGGCTCCAGGCCCTTCTCATCCAGGGTGTGCCCACCTCCTTCCAGGGCAGAGCTGCTTGTCACCACCCTGGCCTCCTGTCCCACAATGGGGCCTCCAATAAAACTGCACTTGACCTTCGCCCTCCGTGTGACCCACTCTGTCCTAGCCCTACGGTGGGAGAGCCAGTCCGTGTGCTGCACTGACATCTCAGAGTTGGCTGCGACCTAACTCCTAACAATTAGCTTCTTCATGTGTGCCAGGTCCTCTCCTTTCCTCCTCAGAACACCTCCTGGTGGGAAGACTTTCCACACCCCCTCTCCCCAGCCCCCATAAGCCCTGTGCCATACAGAAGACCCAAAGCCAGGGTAAGGACCACCCAGACCACTGGTTTTATCTTGGATACAGGATTAAAGCCCCTCCAATGCTTGAGGCATTTCCTCTTTTTTTTTTTTTTTTTAAAGATTTTTATTTATTTATTTGACAGAGATCACAAGTAGGAAGAGAGGCAGGCAGAGAGAGAGAGGCAGGCAGAGAGAGAGAGGAAGGGAAGCAGGCTCCCTGCTGAGCAGGGAGCCCGATGCAGGGCTTGATCCCAGGACCCTGAGACCACGACCTGAGCCGAAGGCAGAGGCTTAACCCACTGAGCCACCCAGGTGCCCCTTTTTTTTTTTTTTTTTTTTTTTTTTTATGTTTTTATTTTTTTGAGAGGTCAAGCGGTGAGAGAGCACATGAGTGGAGCGGGTTGGGGGGAGGAGAAGCAAACTTCTGGCGGCTGAGCAAGGAGCCTGACACGGGGCTGGATCCTAGGACTCTGGGATCCTGACCAAAGCCGAATGTGGACGCTTAACTGAGGGAGCCTCCCAGCTGCCCATTTCCTATTCTTTTAACCCCAGATTCACAACACACAGCTCAGGAATTCTGGAAGCCAGGGCTCTATTCCAGTTTTATGCTTTCTATAGGACTTTTGGCAAGTCCACTGGACTTCAGTTAAGACTGTGCCTCCTCCTCCCCTGAGAGGCATGATGGAGTTGGACTCCATGATTTCTTAACTTACAAAAAGAAAAAGGGAAAAGCCAATGCCACAGTTTGTTGGGCTACGGTCTGTGCTTCTCAGGCAGTGCCACACCATAAAGAACAAGACAGAAGTCAGAACTGAACCAGAGAAGGGACGCTGGGGCAGCCTTCACATCCCTTCTGTAAGTGGCGTGGGAGCCAATCCACCCTCCCAGAACATTCCAGAACCAGAAGCCCAGCAGCTTCTCAGCATAGATGGCACCTTCCCTACAACCTTTCCATTGACAAAGAGGGTTTCTAATATGTCAGCCCCTGAGGTAGTTGGCTTTTCTGACACTCATTCTCACCAGACACCAGTAAGACTTGCTCATAGTTAAAGTTTATCTCCATCCCTCCACCCTTACCCTGAATGTGCTCCTTCACTGAACAGACCCTGTCACAGCTTGGGCACTCGGGTTCTCAAACCAGTGAGGATGGTCCTCCTGAGTGAGGTGCTCAGAGTCTGGAGTAGGAGACCAACACTAGCAGTGGACACAAAGCACTTGGCTGGAAGCCTGAGAGAACAGGGACTGGGCTGGGGATCCTCACAAAGGGGGTGATGCCTGAGCCCACTGAAGAGAGATCTTTTCATTAAGCACAGGAACAACAACAAAAAAAGGCTAAACAAAAACCAGCCAGTCCCTAATGCCCCAGTGATCTATCTGAAACAGGAACTTTACCTACTCTTAAGTGAATCAAGAAATTGTGGCTTTAAAAATACATATAGGTAAAATTTCTTAAGAATTAAGGACTTGATTTTTCTCTATCTTCACTTAATAAACTATCACTTTACTAAAAAAAAAAAAAGAAGGACTTGAGTGAAGTGTTTGAGTATATGTGTGTGGTTCTAAAGCTGAGAGTTAAATGACTTTTTTAAAAGTATTTTTAGGTAAAAATATAAAATTAATCAAAGTAAGGTTAACATTGAGATAGCCCAAACAAGACCAGTTCTGGGAGCCCTAATGACTGCTACTGTTTATTGATCATTTACTCTGCCTGCGACTCTGCTAAGCTCCTAACATGCATTAGCTGATCTGATCCTTCCAAAAGCTTTGAGTGTCACCCTCACACCCACCTTTCAAGTTAAGTCAGATATGTGGGTTTGGAACCAAGTTGGATCTGACTCCACAATCCCAGCTCATGAGGCTTATACAGAACACCCTGGCAAGTGGGACTGGGGCAAATGTAGGGAGAGGGGGCAGGCTTATGGCAGGTCATGGTCAGGAAAGAGAGACTAAGCTTTCTCCCTGTCTGTGTTTAGAGGAGTGATGGTTTTCAGTAGTGGAATAGAATTGTTAGATTTGTTAGATTTGCAGCTGAGTGATTTGTTTCGAGCAGAGAGATCCATACATGTGGCTATAACATGTAGTCAAAACCCCCCTAACACGGAACAACAGAGCCCCAGCCAGTCAGCCCCTTAGCTCCAGGGATACCCGCTTCGAACCACTTCTGGATTTAGCTATGAAAAAGTTACAGAAAGTGGCTTATCTTTTCTGCCACACAGATTACCTTTTTGCTCTCTATTCTGTTACTTTCTTAATCTTCCGATCTTTCTAATTTTGGCAATCCATTTTTAATTCCCAGGAGATTTTTTTTTTAATTCCCTCGGTCTTCACAACCTGCTGTTTTGGTTTTATGGCTGTTATTTCTTCTCAAATCTCACTGAGGATCTAATTAGAATTTTTTAAAGTCTTTTTTTCTAGTGTCTGAATGACCTATTTCCTCCAAGGGCAATCTGTTCTCTTTATCTTCATCTTCCCCCGTGTGCCACTAGTTTTCTCTGCGTCTGGTGACCTTGGTTGCGTATCCACATCCAAGAATGATGAGCTGGTTTGATTTTTTTCTAGCTGGTATAGGCTTCCTGGGGTAGTGTCTGAGGCTCTTTCTCCTACTAGCAAAGCTGATGGGGAGTTCTGGGTGTAGGGGGGAAGGCTTGTTGGCTAGAGGACAGCTCCTGAGTGTGGAAGTAAATGAGAACAAGCAAAGGCTATTCGGTCAGAGCTTACTGTAACATGGAAGTCAGCCACCATCACTTGGGTTTTGACAGAGACTCAAAAGCAGATAGAGAAGGTTTTAAAGCTTCAGATATGCCCTATCTGAGGCTGTTGTCATGGGGAAGCCGTAGGCAGGCTTACTAGAAGAGGGGCATCCTATGTGATTGGTTAGAAATGTGTATTTGGCTTTCTCTGATTGATCCTCAGTTGGAAGCAAGGATAAAAGTTAGGGAAGCTGTCACTCAATCAAGTCCTGGCTGTTTGGGACCAATTGCTAAAGTGGTGATTGCTTGGCTTCCTGGACTCAGTGGTTAAAATAGTGCTCCAGCCTCCTGTAAATCTGATTTAGATAGCAGCTGGCTTTCTGGGCTGATTACTGCAGAAAATGGATTAAAACTACTTTTCTATCCACCCAGCCATCTTCCACCTGTATGTGCAGTCTTGCGAGACAGAGTTGGCGGGAGCTATGTGGACAGCGGACCCCTCAAATACTGGAATAAAAATGGCTCTCTTTGGGATGCCACACCATAAATTTCACCATACATGAAGCTTCAGCACTATCTAGGATTTGACTTTTTGGAAAATACCCCATCTGGGGGTTAAAGTTGGGTTACCTGAGCTCCAGATTTGGGTAGAAGACATGGGGGTGATCATGTATAGACTTCCTCTCTCTGCCCCTCATGCCTGCCAATGCTGAACCCAGAGCCTCTCAGAGGTTCTGCCTGGAAGATGAGCTCCTCCTTCACTGAAGCTGCCTCTTCCACTTCTTGTGGACACCCTGTTCCCTTTGGTGGGCTTCCATATACCATCTTCTAAATATTTATTGAAATCTCTTATTCACTGGTGATTTCCTTCATACTCTTTCATAAAGGAACATTGAGAAATAAATATTTTGGTGAGATCCCAGTAATTCACTCTACCTTCTGTAACCAGAAATTGCAGGTTTAAAAAAAGATCTAATTGTATAAAGAAAAGATTACAAGGGGGCCAAACTGGAGACAAAGAGGCTGAGGTCAATGTATAGGATGAAATGTGCAGGAGGGGAACGACATAAGAAATGCAGGTGGTAAGAACTTCATTGTGAGTAAAGCTCTAGGAGGCATTAAGTTAGACTACAGGAGAGACTGAGCCAGAATGCAGCAGACTCGGAAACTATTAGGAAGATTTTAGGAAATTTGGACATCCTTGTGTACACAGTACCATTAAATACATAGAAGATGAAATGTGGGGGAGAGAGAATGATCACAAAGGAAGCAACAGCTTGGATAACTCAATTCTGATGTTCCCATTAGTATGAGGTGTTTTCCCTAGCCTAGATTGTACCAGGCAGGTCTTGGGTAGAGGACATTCCTTCCACTGGATGCAACCCCTTGACTTATCCACTATGGGACCATCAAACCCTGTTCAAGTCCTTTCTCAGAGAATGCTGGGAAGCTCTGGGTAGCAGGTGAAAAATGAAAACATGTATGCTTCCCTTGTTTTAAGATTCATTTTTGAGTAAGTTTCCTCAGTAAGTCTTCATATCAAAGTGGGAAAGTCATGGTGGCCTGACATGCATGCAGTGGGATCTTGTTCCCAGACCAACGTCTGCTACCAGAAAAAGGAATGCTGAGAGGCCACCCCTTCCATTCCTCCTCCACCATGTCCCTGCCCACTCATTTTCCCACCCCATCCCCACTGACCCCCTCCAAAATAATGACTACTTCCTTAGATATTTCCTGTTGTCCCATTGGTTTTGTATGGGGAGGGGGATGGAACACACAGATTTGGAGATTATTCTG